AAGCGACTCTCCTCTCTCACGCTCCATGGGACAAAACGATCTTGGAATGCACTAGCAAACTGCTCCCAAGTCACTAGAGGAGATCCAACTGGCAAACATCCCGAATAAGTCCTCCACCAGTATCTCGCTGGTCCACGAAGCTGGAGTGTATCATATCGAACCCCATGTGACTCAGCTAATCCAACCGCCTCTAGTAACTCTTGGCAGGTAAATAGAAACTCATGTGCGTCCTCGCTCTTCCCACCCTGAAACTGAGGTGGGTCCATCTTTCGAAATCTCTCATACCTACGCTGCTCATCCTCTGTCAGAACAACCATCGATGCAACTTGACCAACAACTGCTGGTGCAACATCATTCTGAACCGCGGGATCTACTGGTAGTTTCCCCACCACATCCTGAACAACTGGAGCTTGTTGCTGCTCTTGGGTCTGAGCCCCCTCTCTAGTACGAGAGTCATGTGGTGTGGTAGTCGCCCCACCACCCTGAGAAAATCCCTCTAGCACACTTAACACCCTCAATAGTGTATCCTGAAGCAAAGGTGTGACTACAGGATCTGAAGGAACCTGGTCTTCTCTGCCATCAATCTAAGATTCTTTGGAGACCTCTCTAGCACAACCTATCACTGGTGCTGCTCCACGTCCACGACCTATGGCTACTGTCGTCCTACTATCACGACCTCTAGCTCGAGATCTACCCCTACCTTTAGCTGGGGCCTCAACAACTTCCTCGAGAAGTGCCTCCCCTCTACCACCAGTGACATTAGTTCTAGTCCTTGTCATCTTTCAAAATAGTATATAACAACTCAATACTAAAGAAGGTGACTACGCACGATGAGACAGAATGAACAAAAAGAAGTTTCCTAGTAATCCTTGTAGCCTCTCAGAGATAAGTACAGACGTCTCCGTACTGATCCTTGAGACTCTATGTAGACTCGTCTTATATGCACGTGATACCTATGAACCTTGGGCTCTGATACCATTTTGTCACGACCCAAAAATAGGTGTGATGGCACTTGTCTTATCCCACCTAGACAAGTCAGCCTAAAACCCAATATCTAACAAAGTGCGGAAGTAAATGACAATCCAACAACAAGTTCTATTATGAAACCAAGTCATATTAATTCAATCCCCAAAACCAGGTTGTCACGTGCACAAGCCTCTAATTAAATATTAGAATTGAACTAAAATAGAAGTCTAAAATGAAGTTGTCTTTCAAGTAAAAACTAAGTCATAAAGTGGAGTAGGAAAGTTCGCTGAGATGAGAAGCAGCTACCTCACAACCCTCCACAAAATGCCTTGGAAACGAAAAGAATGACAGGTGTCACGAAGATCTGGGCACGTAACCTACAAAAAAATTTGTAGAAGCAAGGGGTGAGTACCAAACCACGCGGTACCCAACAAGCAAACCTCTAAACACAAGTTAAGTGAACAAAATACGGGTACTTCTTACACCCTATCTAAACGTCCACACTACAGCCTAACAGTTTACAGTTTACTAAACACACAACTCAATAACCACACTCTATCAGTTTACACATTCTCAATAACAACTCAATATTCAACAGTCACAAGTTTCATAGAGAAACAATCACAAGATCAGCAAATACGTGTTCAAGTTCATCAATAATAAATTGTGCAATGCCATGAGATGCAATGTCAAATATAGTGATGCATGTCTTTCTTAACTATACACACCCGTTGTCTCTCAGTCCGGGACCCATGGGGGACATATCTGTCCATGCATCTGTCACGGCGCATGACACGACCCTCGATAATAGTATGTTTCGAGGTGCGCGATACGTCCCTCGAAATATAATATTCATCACGGCGCGCGATACGACCCTCAAAAATAGTACCATCCTCTTACCACAACCATGTCTCAGATACACTGCAAATGATATGCTCAAATGAAAAGGAGGAGATAACCATTTGATAACAAAGCACAATTTGCAACAAGAAATACAACACCAACAAATAACCAACAAGTCTCCAAATCATTCTCAACATCACACAAGGAAATACACAAATTTCGTACGCTTAACAAGAATTTAGAAATCCACTTGCCTTAGTCAATCGAATAATTACTCTTGGACTTGAGCCTTCCTTTTCCGTTGAGCTTCCGAACCAATAGAATCTATTCAAGTATATATTTACAATAAGGTGTCGGAATTAACAACACTCACACTTTTATATGTTTAATCTCGGCCTAAAAATTCACCCCACATTTATAATCAAGTTCGTAATTCTTGATGCCAACTAACATTTCAACTATTATATTTTCCAAGTTTCAAGTCTAGGATTTCATCCCAATTTTCTTTTTTTAATATCATAATTTAAATGGTACTCACAAAATATCATTCACCCAATATTTAAATAATATACATATCAAAAATTCTTAAAATTTCCACCAGTTACTTTAACACACAGATATATGCCTCAATTCACATTCCAATATTTATTATACCTAATTAATTATATCAAGTATAAGCATATGACCCTCCAATGATCAGTCATGGTCACTGCCCAATGACCAATAACAATTATTACCCAGTAATACATTCATATCCCATAAATATTTTTATTTTCCCAAGAAAAAAAATAAATAAATCATTATTTTATGTATAGAAATTCCTATATTTTCTTTTCCTGTTACAATTAATTTTTTTCTTTTTCATGCACAGGTTGTCACAACCCCACATCACCAAGGCATTGCATACATTAGCCCACTTTGTTACCCCCTACATATAATAATAATAATAATAAAATAATCAAATGTAACATCTATGCATTTAAAGTATAACTCAATTCATTGTTTAGAAGTGTGCCTACCTGAAGTATGTGAAATATCGCCATTCTTTTTCCCCACTTGTTCGTCTCCCTCGATAGGTTTTTGCCTCTCTTTCTTTTATAAATTAATAGTTTATTAAAACTGATAAAATCCACTAACTTATTATTATTTTTTTGAATATCTGACCCTAATGGTATAGAGTTTTAAACAAATGGACACTTTTGCCCACTAACTATCTATTAATTTTATTATCTACAATTACTCATAAATAAATTAACCCAAGTTATACGAATAATTTAAATTTTACAAAAATAACCTCACGGCTCATTATACAAACTTTCTTTACTAGTTTCATTATACTTGAAGAATAATGCAAAGATTAATATAAGTCAATTTAATGACAAAATTGAAGCTACTGTACTTTGCATTCTCATTTTTTCTGTGCGAAGATAATTTAACAATAATTGCATTCCAATTTAATCTCATAAGATAAATTTGAGTTATGAAGGGAGATAGACATACTAAATTCAATCTTTCTAGCATTTATTGCTATTAAATTGAGAATCTATTTCGATTAATGTCGGATAATCACTACAAAAGTAATATATTTTGTCCGTAGTTAGATAGATATTAGAAGAGAAAGAGGGACATATATATGATATTCATAGACTTTGAAAGGCTTACACTAAAGTCTCAACATTAGCCCTCTAAAATGCATGGAGGCTAGAGGTGTACATATCACTTACATTACACAGATAAATGACATGCATGATGGAGTCAAACCTCGACTAGAATGATAAGAGGAAACTCAAAGCACTTCATAGTTGAGATAAGGTTGCACAAAGTATCAATTCTTAGCCCATTCGTGTTTCTCATGGTGATGGATGATTGACGTTGCATGCATAAGATAAGATCACTTAATATATGTTGTTTGCAGATGACACAATACTAATTGATGAGACATACAAATGAATTAGTGGTAGGCTGGAGGTACGTAGAAACACTCTGGAGTCTTAAAAGGTAAGGTTGAATAGGACCAAATCACTTAAAAAACAAATTTAGTGATGCAATGAATGTAAAAGGCATGTATGTGACACTCGAACACACAACTTATTCGTAAGAAAGATATTTCAAGTGTCTAATGTCTCGTATTTCAGGAAAGTAGAGACATCGACAATGATATCGCACAATACATAGACAAATTAAACGCTTGCCTCCTGAATCTTATGCGTACCTAAGAGCTAAGAACTATGGAGGTTTGAATATTTTAAGAATAAAACATAGTTGTTGTGAAGCTCTTAGGCAATTAGCAAGTAAAAAAAATGTATTGTGGGTAAATTGGATTCATGATGTCTATATGAAGAACATTAAGCAAATATCACCTCAAGACTAGTTGATATTTGAATAAGTTGACTACTCTAAAGATTGTGATAATCCAATATACAAAAAGGGAATAAATAATGAGAATTACCATTAATATCTATCTCAAAAAAGTTCGTTGAAGGGACATAGATTTGAATGTGTCTTGTATGTATAAAAAATATTCTACAATCACTTAGTTGATCAAATATTTTGATAAATTTATGCTAAAGAAAAACAAGTGTCTTAAAGATAAGAAAAATATGTTATGTTCCTTAATCAAAGTAGAAAAAACAAGATGTTGCAAATTTATTCTCTCTTCCCAACAACCCCACCATCCTCTCTCAACCATCCAGACCCCCGCCACCCCCAAACCACCACTCCTCACCCAATCCTGCTCACATAATGTTTTTATAGAATACATGTAAATGATCTTGATATAGTTTTTTTTCCTTTCTAAAGAATAGACCCGCTTATTTTTTAACAACATTTTCTTAAAAATTTGCATGAAAATATTTTCTTTCATTCCAAACACACAAAATGATTAGAGAAGACTCGAAAATCACATGAATCTGAATTTAGATTTTAAAAACAAAACAGACAGGCCTAGTAAACATTCAATAATAGTCCTATAATAATTTGGTTTGAATTGAAGTTATGATGGAATTAATTATGATGAAATTAGTTATGAATGAGTTTTGATAGATTATTTTTTCTTGAATGTTTGATTTGTTGAATTAAAAAAATAATAAATTTTAAGAACAATTTATTTGTTTATAGAAATGCCTCTCATAATGAAAAATGTGATTTAGCAAAAGGGTAAAAAGAGGCATTTTTGTCATTTACTTATTTTATCCCGAAATTAATATACCACCCAAGGGGATGGATAACTTATTCCAGTACAAATCATTAGTCCCGGAATAAACTTGTCAACCAAACAACAAATTAAGTAGTACTATAATATAATTCCAGGACCATATGGTATTATCCTTCACACCAACCGACCCCTTAATCTCCTAATAATAATCTTCATAACAATTCACATAATGCACAACATAAATAAATATGAGTGCAGAAATGCTGCATTCCCAAGTATGCGCCTCCATCAAATTCCACGTCCCATAAGTAGAGAATATGCATCCTTAATTTAAGTCCAATTTGTATGAATTCAGTTCACAGCATAAAAATCAAATGTTCCTGCTAGTAGAGCTCCATTACGTTAAGGAGCAATTGTTGCAGCCACCTTCTCATTATCATATACTCCTGATAACATAATGCAACAAGGGTCTGATGCTGAGAAAAGAATAATTCATGATTCACGAGGGAGCTGCTACTTATATGGCCAAATATTACATACACGAAGACAGCTGCTAAAGGTGTCGAGACAAATTTTTAAGCCTCACAGAAACAGAAAGATCAATTTAAAAAGGGCTGTGATTTATCACACATAAGCATGCTGAAAGAAAAATATAAGCAGAAAATTAACCTTGGCTCATCTGATAAACGAAGATACCACCTGATTATGTTGATGAAGGTTGCTCAGCAAGTGCACCGACCATATTCCCTAAAATTTGAGCCACTTCAAAAAACCTATCCCATGTGTCAATCTCAGATGTAATTCATACTCAAACCATCTATAAGGATTTTTTGCACAATGGAAGGAACAACCTGTCAGTATGAATAAATTAGATGCATGAAAATCTAATCAAGTAGAGGGAGGATGTCATTGGAAAATGGTTTTGAGGAAGCACAAACTGCTTTTGAAAGTTCACTCCCCATCTCCATCGTGCACAAGCACCGCAGAAACAAGAAAACTGATAACTTCAGTGTTATCTACCTGCGCAGAAAAATAAAAAAGGAAGAAATTGAAGTGCATTTAGGCTTTAGAATAACAATTGATTGAGATAGGTTATGAATAGCATTACTAGCATCATTAGCTACTGAAATTATAACTAATCAGTTTCCTTCTCATGTCATTCCTAGTAGATTTATGGAACTCTTTATACTAAAATGAAAGTACAAGATGAATTACAGTAGACATATTACCTTCACAAGGGAAAAAATGACACCTGCAAGCTTTAATATTCAAAGGGTGTCGACTTTCTTCTTGTGTTAAGAAAGGGGTACAAACACAAAAGACATTTTTGCTGAAAGGTAGAAAACTGTTGGAAGGATCTATTCAAGGGAAACCAAATATCACACAGCCAATTCAGATCTCGAGAACACATCATGATTATGAAGTCCATTTATTTGATTTTCTTTTGGACATACATATTAAGTTTATGAAGATTACAAAGCAGTTTACATGAATATTATAGGGATGGGGTAGTTATCTTAGACAACATTCTTGTGTTGCACCGTCCAGCACTTCAATAAACCTAAGGACATAAACATGTAATGATCTTCATTTTATTCCTCTTGATGGACATTAATGACTATCAAGGACGAAAGGTCATTGTTACTTATAGTCATCACTCTTGCATTCCGAGGAAAATAAAACTCAAGTATAATTTTATTTTTTATACGAGTAGTGGATAAGATAAATCCAAGTATAATGTCTTCATGTGTAAATTAAATTCAAATTCCTGTCCAAAGATTTATCAAACAAATGCAGGGTGACATTAATTTGATATGATTTGGATTTTATTCTTGCCTTATAGTTGTGGAATTCTTCTTGACAAGTAAATAAGTGAAAATATGATACTAAGCAGGTGTCTGCAGAGTAAGACTTAAGAAATGTAACTATGAGAAGTGTTTGAGATATTTGTGTCATGGAAAAGAATTTGCATGCACAAGCAACTCTCAATCAACAAAGGCAACAATTTTCTAGAATCCAACAACATTCCACCCAAAAGTACAGTAAAAAAAGGCCAATCTTATTGCCATTGACAAACAAATACGAGAACTTTCAAAAAAAATCAAAGAGAGAAGAGAATCTTCACCATTGAGGAACGACTGTCTGGTGTCAGGATGAGAGCCTACAGACTACAAAATAGAAAGCAATGAGAAACTATTCAATAGGAAGTATGGAAAATTTGACCTTGGCCAGCAAAAACCTAAATAATGGAGGTATCTTAAAGCATTTATACTATGGTAACAACAGATATTTGGAAGTGACACTTGTCATGCTCCAAGAAAGAGATAAAACTTGAACTACTTCCCTACTAACACATCCAGTTTGTTGCATTCACCATCCACCTCTCTTGATACATTTAGCACAACCCAAATATATCCAATTTTCTATACCTATTTTGACTAACTCATTACTTTAAGATCACCAACAAGAATGAATAATAGAAACACTATGAAAAAGTCAACAATGAAATGAAGCTAATAAACCTGTAGAAATGAAAGTGCATTACAAACTCTATTGGATTGTACAGAAGTCAGGCTTGCTGACGGCAAAAACAGGGTAGAAAGAAACTATCTCCCGCAAAGGTACGTGAAAATTAACAATGGAAAACTTATAGAAACAACTAGGAACTTCCACACTATAAGTTTAAGAAATAAGAAACAAATGGTTGAACAGAAAATGTCTACAATAGAAGTTCAAGAAATATGAATAAATAGTTGAGAGAATATAAGTCCAGAATCTCAATTCTCATCATGCTAGAAAAAGTTATTTATATGAACCAATAATATTAGTTCTGACAAAGCATACAACTACCTACATATATGATAAAGTAGCTTCTATTTACCATTTAAGTTGGGCTAAGATACAAAAACAGTTTAATTGAGATCAGATTTAAATGACAAAAAAATTCTCCTCCTAGAGGTGACATTTTCCTCTTTTAGGTTGACGTTTCCTCAAAAATTGGTGTTGGCTTCATCTACATCAAAACAAATATGAAAAAGCGAAACGGAATTCTATTTTGAGACTTTCCTATATATATTTTTGTCTCCAATTATTACTCAAATCATATCTTATTCCACAAGGAAAAGGTTTTAAAAGTTAAGGATTTTTTAAAACTAAAACCTTATTTCAAAAGAAAAATGCATTAAAATTTAAGAAAAAGGTATTAAAATATAAGGAGATCTTCTTCCACAGGGAAAATTTATTAAGTTTTAAAGAAATAATTTAATTTTAATTAAAACAAAAATCTTTATTGGAGGTGAGATTCTTACTTGAGTTACTCAGACAAGCATGACACTATTCACACCAAGCTACTGAACATTTATGTAAAAACTTACACATGTTCATTAACTTGCAAACTTCAAGAAGGCAAAATAATAATAGAAAAATGAAAACGCTCATATGGGGTGTTGCGCCCCTATGCGAGAGATACTACAACTTGACAAGAAACCTAGTTTAGTACTTGCAATATTTAAAAGAGATTAACGAAGGCATATTAATATCTAATCTAGTTGAGGGATATGTTTCATAACACATAATTTAGCTGAGGATGTCCATCTGACCCATTTTTTTTAAAAAGATTTAATTCAGGTCAAAATTTATATGGCACGAAATTTTAACTAATGACGAAAAATCCTCTAAAAATCTGTTAAGCAAAACAGACAAGCTTTTCGTGCATATATTATCTTCACACTTAAGGACGAAATAACAATAATATTATCAACTTCCCTGTACCGCAATCAGTTGGTTCATGCTTCACACAAACATAGAAAACATAAGGCAAATTAGTATTTTTCAAGCATGGGTTCACACACCCCAAAAGATAAAAACGTATAACCGTACTTATTTTACAAGCCATGATTACATGACCAAATAAGCCCTCAAAATCTCATGTAAATATACAATACAGAGATCATGTACAAGTCCCAAGGTTCATACAAAATATATATGTCTATATGCAAGTTTGATCTTCCTTTAAGGCTTTCAAAACCTCAATCTTCAATGACTAACTTCAACCATCCTCACGAACGTTCCCTACGATAGAATCAACTATTGCTAAGCATAAAGCTTAGAGGTGTAAAAACTATAGATCCGGCCCTTAGATTCACCAAGTCATCATTCTCAAGTCAAGGTTAGCATAATTTAAATATTATCACAAAATAAGTAAATAGTATACAAAGAGTATCAAGTTTGATTAATACAGCTCCAAATGTCAATAATGTTCATAGCACAATTTTTCAAGAGCTTCAATAAGATATCAAGAAGGGCCAACGCCATGTATCAAAAAGGGTCAAAACCCAACAAAAAAAAATAGAACCAAGAACCATATTAAAAGTGCTTTCTAGTTCGTACTTAAAATGGACAACTCCCATACATAAGACGAACTAAAAATCCAGAGTCAAGATGGGCAAATGATCCGAATCAACAGGCATGCCAATAGTGACAAGGTCACAACCACAAGAAGGATAGATTCCCAACAAGAATGCCAAGTGATCAAAAAATCCGTACAAGTAGGCGAGTTACACAAGAGTCTTCAACCTCTTAAACGACAACAACACAACAATGCAAAGTGACAAGAGATAATCAACGTACCAATATAAAATTTCAGATATACCAGCAGGTAAAAATAGTACAAGTACAATTTAATACACAAATCGCAATATTTTAGCAAAGAAACAATCCAAAACGACTTCAAGAGTTCAAACCGTAGACCAACCAACGTATGAAGATCCTCAACTTGTTCACGAGTATATACAACCTTAAAAATATAATTAAATGACTTATTTAACTTCTAGTATCTCAATAATGTTGAAGTAAATACTAGATAATCATCACAAGTAGGCCTAGCCTGCACATTTACGACTAAGCTCCCAAAACAATGATTTTGTCCAACAAAAGTACTTCATGTCGCAACTTAGTTTTCAAATAGGAAACAGCAAAACTGGACTTTACATCCATAATAAAAGATGTAGGCACATCTCTTAATCTTGCAAATAATCAAGAATCACCTCAAAATACGCTTTGTACAAAAATATATAATAAAAGCACTAGCATTTGTACAGACAGAATTTCTAATTCCAGTAGCTGGACAGAATTCTTCATATGTTGCGTCCCATATTTGGAATCCATAACAGCAAAATTAGAGTTTTCATAAACATAAGAGTTGTATGACAACGAAATGTCTTTCTAAATCATATTTATTCATTGAAAACTAAGTTCTATATGACAAGATATGCTTAAAATACAAAAGACTACCCAGATCAGAAACATATTTTTTTTTCATTACAAAAAGTTGTGTGTCGAATTCACCTAAAAGAAGCCTGTTTTTCTCTTCATTTTGCAGAACAACTGTTTAGCTAATGTTTTAATGTTATTATACTTCAGGAAAGAGAAAACAACCAAAGGAGGTGTATAATATATTGATACAAAAAGACCCTCATCACCTCTACACATGTCAACAAAAGGGGTTGCCCCTAAAAATAGTTGGCTGCCCAGAAATCATATATATATATATATATATATTCATTTTTATATACCTTACACCCACACCTCCAATATATGTGTAAACATAATTTGAAAATTATGTAAATAACCCCTACAATACGTTAAATTACGATAACGATTTGTGTTAACCACATTTTCAAGTATCACAAAATTTCATGTCCCCAAAATGAGAATAAAACATATTATAGTAATGTATGGATATGTAATTAATGTTCTAGTATCTTAGGGGTTTTACAACTCTCTCCCCCTTAAAAAAATTTCGTCTCGAAATTTACCTTAGGCTAGTACCGAAACAAGTGTGGATATTGTCTCCTCATGTAATCTTCTCTCTCCCAGGTAGCTTTTTTTCCAGAATGGTTCATCCAAAGTACCTTTACTAAGGGAATTTTCTTGTTTCTAAGTTGCTTTACCTCACGAGCTAGAATTAGGATAGGTTCTTTATTTTACGTCAAGTCGGAATTAACCTTAATAGATTTAATTGGAAGGGCATGAGATGGATCATAATGATATCTTCGGAGCATAGAAACATGGATGACATTGTGGATATTGTCTAACTCCAGTGTTAAAGCCAATTTATATGCAACAGGTTCAACCCTTTCAAGTATCTCATAAGGTCCAATAAATTGGGGACTAAGTTTTCCTTTTTGGCCAAATCTCATAATCTTTTTCCATGGAGACACCTTTAAGAATACTTTATCTCCAACTTGATATTCAATGTCACGCCTTTTTAGATTAGCGTAAAACTTTTTTCTATTCGAAGAAATCTTTAAGCAATCCTTGATAGTTTTCACCTTCTCTTCGGTTTGCTGCACCATTTTAGGACTAATAAGCTTTCTCTCACCAATTTCACTCCAACAAAGCGGGGTCCGACATTTTCTTCCATATAAGGCTTCATATGGAGGCATTCCAATACTTGATTAGTAGCTATTATTGTAAGCAAATTCTATTAAAGCCAAGTGTTTGTCCCTACTACCCTCAAACTCCATAATGCAAGCTCGAAGCATATCCTCCAAAATTTGTATCGTGCAAGCTGCCCCAAAATCTAGATGTAAACCTTGGGTCTCGATCGGATAGAATAGACACTGGGATCCCATGTATTCTTACAATATCATTAATGTACAACTTGGCTAAACGCTCAAGTAAGTAATCCATTCTAATTCCTAAGATGTGATCATTCTTTGTTAGCCTATCTAAAATCACCCATATTGCATCATGGTTTCTCTTAGTGTGAGGAAGTCCACAAACAAAGTCCATAGTTATTCTCTCCCATTTCCATACTGGCATAGAAAAGGGTTGTAGTAAACCATCCGAGACTTGGTGTTCGGCCTTTACTTGTTGACAAACCAAACATTTTGAAATGAACTCTGCAATGTCTCTCTTCATACCATTCCACCAATAATTTTCTTTGATAGTATGCATCTTTGTACCTCTAGCATGCATCACATATTGTGAACTATGTGCTTCTTTCAATATTTCTCTCCTCAAGTTGTCATCATTAGGGACACATAACCTATTTTGATAAGTAATACACCATCCTTTGTTAATATAAAATCAAGATTCTCCCCATTTTGGACCTCTCTACTCAATTTTACAAGTTTCTCATCTAACTTTTGTGGTTCCTTTAACTTATTCAAGTAATATTGGCTAACTTGCAAATTAGCAATAACTGAACCATTTGAATGAGGTGTAAAAAAAACATTCATGGCTCTTAACTCAAGGAGCAACGTCAAAGGACTCAAAGAAATACTTGAGAATGATTTCCAACTTAAGGCATCGGCAACCACAATAGCTTTACCTGGATGATAATCAATCGTGCAATCATAATCCTTGATGAGTTCAAGCCATATACGTTGTCTTAGATTCAGCTCCTTTTGAGTACCCTATTACTTTAAGCTCTTGTGATCAGTGAATATATGACATTTCTCCCCATACAAATAATGTCGCCAAATTTTTAGAGCAAACACTATAGCAGCAAGTTCAAGATCATGAGTAGGATAATTCAATTCGTGTGGTTTTAATTTCCGAGAGGCATAAGATATTACCTTCCCTTCTTGCATCAAAACACATCCTAGATCATTGTAAGAAGCATCATTGTACACTACATATTTTTTCCCTTCAATTGGTAGAGTAAGTATAGGCGCTTGAATCAACAAGGATTTGAGTGTTTCAAAGCTCATTTGACATTTTTCATCCCAAATAAACTTTACTTCCTTCTACAAGAATTTAGTCAAAGAGGAAGCAATAATGGAGAAACCTTTCACAAATCTTCTATAGTATCCTGCTAAGCCCAAGAAACTTCTTACCTCAATCTGATTTTGGGAGGTCTCCATTCAACAACTTGTATCTTACTAGGATCCACCTTCACACTTTCACTTGATACAACATGTCCCATAAAATACACATCATCAATCCAAAATTCACACTTCGAAAGTTTAGCATAAAGTTCTCTCTCCTCTAAAATCCACAATATAATCCGGAGGTGTTTATCATGGTTTTCACTACTTCTGAAATATATTAAGATATCATCTATAAAAACAACCACAAACTGATCAAGATAAGTCTTGAATACTCGATTCATTAGATCCATAAATACCGCAGGAGCATTTGTTAATCTGAATGGCATCACCAAAATATCATAATGACCATACCTTTTTCAAAAAGATGTTTTAGGAATATCATTCTTTCTAACACGCACTTGGTGATATCCAGACCTTAAATCGATCTTCAAGAATACCTTAGCACCCTTCAGTTGGTCAAACAAATCATCAATCCTTGGTAATGGATATTTATTCTTTATGGTTATTCTGTTCAATTGTCTATAGTCAATATAAGCCTAAGAGTGCCATCTTTCTTCTTTACAAATAAAACATGGGTTCCCCAAGGAGAAAGATTATGTCTAATAAAACCTTTTTCAAGAAGTTCTGGAAATTGACATTTCAATTCTCTTAATTCTGCTGGAGCCATTCTATAAGGAGTGATGGAAATAGGATTAGATCCAGGAATAAGCTCGATTGGAAATTCAACCTCTCTTTCCGGGGGCAATCCAGGAAGGTTTTCTGGAAAGAATTCTGGAAAATCACATACCATATCTATGTCCTTGATAAAAGGACTCTCCAACTGAGTATCAACTATGTGAGAAAGGTATACCCCACAACCTTAACACATCAACTTTCTTGCCAAGGCCGCAGAAATAATACTAGATGTCAAAGATCTTTCACCTTGTATGAAGATATGTGAACATGTAGGATCTTTAAATGACACAAGCTTTGACCTACAATCTATGACTGCATGATAGATATAAAGTCAGTCCATCCCAATAATAACATCAAAGTCCTTGAAGGGCATTTCAATCAAATCAGTAGGGAAGACTAGATACGGAGGGACAATCATGATAAATTCGATTACACACAACCTGATAACCCAACGGACTTTCAACCAACACATCATAATTAAGTCTCATGGATTCACATTTTCAGGAAGGACAAGTGATGAACAAATATATGAATGTATAGAAGCAAGAATAAACAATGTAAACACACACAAGCCAAATAAGTGAAATTTACCGACAACCACATCTTTCCCATCTTGATCATCCCTCTGCCTCATATCATAAGCATGTGAAGTACCCCTTTGTCCACTAGCTTGATTAACTCCACTTGCACCTCAGGTTTGGGTGTTTCTAGGCCTTGCACCTTTATTAGTTTGAGGAGTATTAACAAAAGGCTTATGAACCGAACCTTCAATTTTCAAAGAAGGAGCATTATTAAGATTAGGACAATCCTTCACTTTATGATCAAAGCTCCCACAATTAAAACATGCACTACAGGCTCTCCTGTAAGTACCAAAATGATTCTTTCCACATTGCGGACAAGTTGGAACGTGAGGCTTGAGTTGGCCATAATTCGGAGTGATAGCTGAAGAAAAATATGATCTGTTTTGCTTCTGTTGAGCTGGCCTATTATCACTACTAGCCTTAGAATTATCAAACCTTCCCCTTTTGTTATGGACCTCCAAAATCTTGTCTTGGCTTTCAGAATCTGTTTTCATATCTACTAGCTTCTTCTTTATCAAGTCGTTCCCAAGTAAAAGCAACAGACACTAACTTGCAAAAGTTCTCATGTTGCAGGTTCCTAATGAAATCATTTAAACCATCTTCAAATTTCCTGCACTTGTCTTTTTCCTCTTTAATAATACCTCCAGCATAACAAGAGATCATTAGAAACCTTTGTTCATATTCAACAATAGACTTGTCTCGCTGCCTTAGATTCAAAAATTCCTTTTTCTTTGCATCACAATAAGCAGGTGTACATACTTTATACGAAATTCCTTAACAAAATCATCCCAAGTATGAAAAGGAAGTTTTACTTTGCATTCGGAACACTTACCCATTGTAATAGATAAATAGCATGCTTAGATTTGGCAACGTCTGAACACTCTAACTACTTAAAAACCCTCTCCATGCGATCTAACTGTTGTTCAGCATCAGTAGGATCAACCGTTCCTTCAAACTCCCCTCCACCCATTTTTTCTTATTTTCTCAAAGTTAATCCCATTGGGATCATGCATCGATTCAGCCATGTGGTGGAAGAATTCAGCCATTTGTTGAAAAGGAGGTTTCATGGCTTGTATACCATGACTCATGTGAGGATGTGAACCAGCTCTTACACGTTGATGGTTTCCCACTTCCGACCCGCTAGTGTAGGGAACATGCTCATTCGATATATATTCTCCAATCCCATAGAGGCACCCAAACCTTCACAAGCAGCTTCCATAGGTCGGTTAGATGAAGTGGCCATAACTTAATTCATTTGAAAGAGAAGATCACACTGCATTAAGGACATGTACATGATGTATGTGCACTCTACATGCCATAATGATATGGCACACCATGTAAGTGAACATGAACTCTAAATAGAATCTTTTCAAAAGAAAACTACTATACAAGTAACTCACAACAAAAAATCCAAGAACCACAGACGTAGTTTAATACTTGCAATATTTAAAAGAGATTAACGAAGGCATATTGATATCTAATCTATTTGAGGGATAAGTTTCATAACACATAATTTAGCTAAAGATGTGCATCTGACCCATTTTTTTAAATATTTAATTCAGATTAAACTTTATTAGGCACGAAATTTTAACTAATGACGAAAAGGCCTCTCAAAATCTGTTAAGCAGACCCGACAAGCTTTTCGTGCATATATTATCTTCACACTTGAGGACGAAATAACAATAATATTACCAATTTCCCAATACCGCAATCAGCCGGTTCATGCTTCACACAAACATAAAAAACATAAGGAAAATTAGTATTTTTCAAGCATGGGACACACACCCCAAAAGATAAAAATGTATAACCTTACTTATTTCACAACCCATGATGGCATGCCCAAATAAGCCCTCAAAATCTCATGTAAATATACAATACATAGATCATGTACAAGTCCCAAGATTTATACAAAATATATATATGTCTATATGCAAGTTTGATCTTCCTTTATGGCTTTCAAAACCTCAATCTTCAATGACCAACTTCAACTGTCCTCTCGAACATTCCGTACAATAGAACAACTATCACTAAGCATAAAGCTTAGTGGTGTAAAAACTATAGATTCATCCCATAGATTAACCAAGTCATCATTCTCAAGTCAAGGGTAGCATAATTGAAATATAATCAATAAAATCAGTAAACAGTATACAAAGAGTATCAAGTTGAATTAATTAAAGCTCCAAATGTCAATAACGTTTTTATCACAGTTTTTCAAGAGCTTCAATAACAAGACTCCCCCAATATATACATCATGCGTAAAACCAAGCACGAGCAGGTATCAAGAAGGGCCAACGCCCTGTATCATCATTCTCTAGTTCGTACTTAAAATGGACAACTCTCATACTTAAGACGAACTAAAAACCCAGAGTCAAGATGGAAAATGATCCGAATCAGGAGGAATGCCAACAGTGAAAAGGTCACCGCCACAAGAACGACAGAGTTCCAACAAGAATTCCAAGTGATCAAACAATCTGTACAAGTGGGCGAGTTACACAAGAGTCTTTAACATCTTAAACGACAACAACACGACAATGCAAAGTGACAAGATGTAAACAACGTACCAATATAAAATTTCAGATATACCAGCAGATAAAAATAGTACAAGTACAAGTTTATACACAAACCTCAATGATTTAGCAAAGAAACAGTCAAGCACGACTTCAAGAGTTCAAACCGTAGACCAACCAACGTATGAAGATCCTAAACTTGTTCACGAGTATATACAACCTTTAAAATACAATAAATAACTTACATAATTTCTAGTATCTCAATAATGTTGAAGTAAGATAGGATAATCATCACAAGTAAGCCTAGCCTACACATTTACGATTAAGCTCCCAAAAAGTGATTCTGTCCAATAAAAGTACTTCATGTGACAACTTACTTTTGAAAAAGGAAACAACAAAACTGGACTTTACATCCTTAATAAAAGATGTAGGCGCATCTCTTAAGCTTGGAAATAATCAAGAACCACCTTAAAATATGCTTTGTACAAAAAGATATACTAAGAACACTAACATTAGATTTCTAATTCCAGTAGCTGGATAGAATTCTTCATATGTTGCGTCCCATATTTGGAATCCATAACAGAAAAATTAGAGTTTTCCATACGCATAAGAGTTGTAGAACTACGAAATATCTTTCTAAATCATATTTATTCATTGCAAACGAAGTTCTATATGACAAGATATGCTTAAAGTACAAAACACTACCCAGATAAGAAACATATTTTTTTCATCACTTACCAAAAGTTGTGTGTCCAATTCACCCAAAAGGATCTTGTTTTTCTCTTGGTTTTGCAGAATAATTGCTTAGCTAATGTTTTAATTTTATTATACTTCAGGAAAACGAAACCAAAGGAGGTGTAAAATATATAGATACAAAACGATCCTCATAACCTCTACACACGTCAACAAAAGGGGCTGCCCCTAAAAATAGTTGGCTGCCCAGAAATCATACATATATATTCATTTTTATATACCTTATACCCACACCTCCAATATATGTGCAAATGTAATTTGAAAATTACGCAAATACCCCCATAAAATACGCTAAATTACAATAACAATTTATTTTAAGCAAGTTTTCAAGTATCACAAAATTTCAAGTTCCCAAATGTGAATGAAACATATTATAGTAATGTATGGATATGTAATTAATGGTCTAGTATCTTATGTATGTTACATGGGGAATTGAACTAGGACAGCGAGTGGGCTTGTGATAGCTCCAATCATCTCCATTGCGGGTTACTTTGTTATTTCAGTGGATTCAAGATACCATATATGCAATTTAAGTCAAAACTTTATGTGTATATATCATATAATTTTCGATGATTGGTGTCCAATTAGACACCCTAGGGACAAGGTGGCTCCGCCCTTGCTCTTTAATCATCCTTAGAGTCTACAAGAGGTTAAGGAGTGAAATCTAGGACTCTAGGAGATATTTCCAACTTTAAGCATTTGAAATTCACAGTAACTCCAATCGAAAAACCATGAAGATGTTGTCTTGATAGCTTTGCTATGTAGGTCATTTTATTTTTAACTTTTAATGGTGTAGAGTAGATACCAGTGGGGTGGTACTTTAGTTTCATGTGCATATGACAGATGAGATAAATTCTAAAATTACAATGTAACACTACCCAAAATACATGTAGAAATGCAGCGATAGTACCAAATGAGTGTTATAACAAGGGGGTCAAATCCGGAAACAATTCTTTTTTCTGGAAAAGGAAAACAAAGGTAATAAAAATATATTTAGATAAATCTTAATTCTATTTAGCAAAATGAGAAAATTATACTCAATATAAAATGTCAAAGTAAATCTCTAAGCAAGAAGAATAAGCCTTGAAAAGCTTTAGAAGAGCGTTTTCACGAAGATTAGGATCATAAAGAACAAACACAAGTTGTTCAATAGATCGCATTCTGCTATCCTTATTAGGGGTGCTCCGGCGCTCGAAGACAATGATGACATACCATCTTCTCCTACGAAGCTGCCGACACCGACGGAGAAAGCTCGAGGTAAGTTTGTCATTCTAAAGCCTCAATTGAATGTTTTTATCTTTTTTGTCCTTTCATTTACCCAACTTTATTTTCTCTCCTTTTTCTTTTTTCCCGAACTGAAATAGATAAAATTTATCGTTGAATTATTTAATAAATATAATTCACCATTTTATTTAAAATTGTGGCAACATTAGTGAACGATGAATTAGATATTTTAAATAAAATGGTAAATTGATGGTGCTGCGATTTTAAATAAAATGGTGAATTTTATTTATCAAAATAATCCAACTGTGAATTTTGTCTTTGTACAGTCAGGTAACAAAAGAAAAATGAGAAAATCAAGTAGGGTAAGTGAAAGGACGAAAAAGATAAAATATTCAATTGAGGCTTTCGAATGGCAAACTTACCTCAATCTTTTTCTATCGGTGTCAGCAGCTTTAGAGGAGGAGGTGGTATGTCATCATTGTCTTTCAGTGTCAGAGCCCCACCCATAAGGGTCACAAAATGCAATCTGCGAAACAACTTGTGTTTTTTCTCTGCAACCCTAATCTTCGTGAAAATGCTCTTCTAGAGCTTTTCAAGATTTTTATTTTTCTCACTTTAGCGGTTTACTTAAACATTTTTAATTGAGTATCATTTTATTATTCTGTTTGCTAGAATTAAGATTTACCTAAAAATATACTTACTGCCTTTGTATTCCTTTTTCCAGAAGAAGGAACTTCACCGAAATTTGGCCGCATTGTTGTGACACTCATTTGGTACTATCTTTGCTCTCCTACAAGTACTTTTAATAGTGTTTCATTTTAATTCTAGAGTTTACCTCATCTCTCATATGCACGTGAAGCTAAAGGACCACTCCACACGGTAATTCTAGCATTTCTTTTGTTTCATACATGCATTTCTTCAGTAATAACTGAAAGCCTATGCTTCACACCGCACCATTAAAAGCTTAGAATAAAATAAAGAATTTGAGTGACCTTTTACAAAAAAAAAAAATTTAATTGGTGTTATGGAGGTATTCAGATGGTTAAAATTCAAAAATGTTTTCTTTAGTCCTAATTTTTTCCCATCTTTTAGTGTCTTAGAATGACAAAAAAGTTGGTGAAATTTCTGGCTAGGGAGGGAGGAGAAACTAGTTCTACACTAGCCCATATGTTGAAGGTCACATCCCTTAATGTAATTTTTACTCAACTCATTGCAAGGTTGTTTTTTCAATAATGGAAATTACTCAATTTACGTCATTTCAATGTATATGTACAGTTGCTTTATCCAAGGCGAGAAAAAAGGGAATAAAATGATTTGGGCAAAAGTTGAAATCAAATATACAGGGAATGTCCAAAATAGAATCTCAATGTGCTTTTTGTTAGTTGGTGTATGCAAATGAAATAGATGGAGCTTTTCGAGGAGATATTGACCCTGAAAGAAAATATTGCCACTAGGAGGAGAAACTATTATGTCATTTAAATTTAATCTCAACTTGGTTGTTTTTGTTCTTTGGTCCAACATAGATGGTAAACAAAAACTACTATTTTTGGTGCTTGTATTTTTTATTAGAACCAATATGATTTATTAGATAAAATAACTCTCTCTACGATGATGAGATTTTGGACTTCATCATTTCTTCCCATCCCACATTTATTTTCAATGAGACAAAACCCAAAAATGAGATTGTTCTTCATGCAAAATAAATTTAAATTTCAAACTTGACCTCTCACTCACACACGTTCATTACCTTTTTCTACAAGGTAAAATAATATAAAAAGATGGAAGCACTAATCTAAAGTGTCAAAATTAAAGTTGTGCAGATTTCTAACCATGTCCATCATGAACTTTATTATTATTACATAGATAAGCTTATGTCTTAAAAGCTATCAAAAATTACCTTCACAAGGGCACAAATAACACCTAAGCTTGCAAGCCTCAATATTCAAAGGGTGTCAACTTTCTTGTTGTGTTAAGAAAGAGGTACAAACACAAAGGAATTTTTGCTGAAAAGCATAAAACTGTTACAAGGATTTAGTCAAGGGAAACCAAATATGACAAAGTCAATCCAAATATCGAGAACAGATCATGATTATGAAGTCCATTTATTTGATTTTTTTGGACGTGCATATTAAGTTTATGAAGATTATAAAGCAGTTTACATGAATAATATAGGGCTGGGATAGTTATCTAAGACAACATTCTTGTGTTGCACCCGCCAGCGCTTCAATAAACCTAAGGACATATACATGTAATGATCTTTATTTCATCCCTCTTGATGGACATCAGTGACTATCGAGGACGAAAGGTCATTGTTACTTATAGTCAAGACTCGTGCATTCCGAGGAAAATAAAACTAAAGTACAATTTTATTTTTTTTCTACGAGTAGTGGATAAGATAAATCCAAGTATAATGTCTTCATGTGTAAATTAAATTCAAATTTTCGTCCAAAGATTTGTAAAACAAATGCAGGGTGACATTAATTTGGATCTTATTCTTGACTTATAGCTGTGGAATTCTTTTTGACAAGTAAATAAGTGAAAATATATGATACTAAGCAAGTGCCGGCAGAATAAGACTTAAGAAATGTAACTATGAGAAGTGTTGAGATATTTGTATCCCTGAGGGAAAAGAAATTGCATGCACAAACAACTCCCAATCAACAAAGGCAACAATTTCCTAGAATCCAACAACATTCCACCCAAAAGTACAGTCAGAAAAGGCCTTTGTTGTATACCAAAAGAGGCCAATCTTACTGCCATTGACAAACAAATACGAGAACTTCAAAAAAAAAAAGAAGAGAATCTTCACCATTGAGGAACGACTGTCTGGTGTCAGGATGAGAGGCTACAGACTGCAAAATAGAAAGCAATGAGAAACTATTCAATAGGAAGGATGGGGATTATGCATAAGTAACCCTCAATCTATGCCCAAAATCTCATACGAACTTATACGATACTAAGGTCCTATTCGAATTTATTTTATACGTAATTTTCTACCCTTTTTCGGCCTACGTGGCACTAACTTTAAAAAAAGTCAATTAGCATTGATCCACAAGATAGTGTCACGTAGGTCGAAAAGGGTAGAAATTTATTAATAGAATAAGTTGACGGGCGGTAATAAGACCTTAGTATAGTATAAGTGTGTCTCTGAGATTTCGGGCATAGGTTGAGGGGTAGTACTTGTGCATTATCCCAGAAGGATGGAAAGTTTGACCTTGACCAGCAAAAAACCTAAATAGTGGAGGCATCGTAAAGCATTTATACTATGGTAACAAAAGATATTTGGAAGTGATTAAACTTAAACTACTTCCCTACTAACACATTCCAGTTCGTTGCATTCACCATCCACCTCTCTTAATAAATTTAGCACAACCCAAATACATCCAATTTTCTATACCTATTTTGACTAACATTACTTTAAGATCATCAACAAGAATGAATAATAGAAACACTATTAGTGATATCTCTTGATTGATTTTAGGATATATCTTGATTGCTCTATCATATCTTAGTATCTCATTAGTGATTCAGTTTCTATTATGATTAGGAGAAGATCACAATACTTTATTAGTTGATTCTTTCCTTATTTGTTGTTTACTCTCTTGTATAAATACTCAAACATATTAATGAAATAAATACTTCTCTCCAACAATAAAATTTATATGGTATCAAGAGCCTAAAAGCTTCAACACATACTTTTTTTCCTCTAAAAATTTATGTTTTCCCGCTGCCATTAACAATGGTCTCAACCAATTTCTCCACTGAGAAAATCACAGCCACACATTTTCCTATATCTGTACCAAATTCTCCAATAATTCTCACCATGAATAACAATGAGCAGTTGATTAATACAATGTTGTCGCTCAGGCACCTCTAAAGCTCAACAATACAAACTCTTAGTCATGGAAATATCATAATATTAGTGGGAAATCATCCTTAGTGCATACAATTTCTTTCACTTTATTGAACAACCACCAAGTTCAATAGCCACACCTTTTCATCAACGACAAGACCATCTCATTTGGAGTGCCATTGTTGCCTCTCTATCTTATGATATTGTTCCTTTTGTCATTGATGCCAAATCTTCATGTGCTCTCTGGAAAAATCTGACAGTAACCTATGCGAAGCCATCAGACGCTCGTATATTAAGTCTTAGAGAGACATGAAAAAAGGTAAACTTTCTGTTAATTCATATCTTCAGAATATAAAACAAATCTGCAGCACTTTAGCCTCTGCTGGAGTTCAAATCTCAATGGATGAGCCCTTCCTTCATGTTCTTCATGGACTTCCAGCCGAATATGACACTATCACTACAGCTCTATGCGCCCGGGAAACTCCATTGACATTTGAAGAGCTTCATGAGAAGGCTCCTTGATTTTGAGCAGAATCTAATTTGCTCATCTTCTTCTACCACAGTTCCAATTATAGCAAATTTTGCTGCCAAACCATCATATCACAACAACTAGTCTCGACCCAATCATGTTTCGCGTCCAGCAAACAACTCGAATCATATGGATAAACTTGCTGCTAACAATTTTGGTGTTTAAATGGCTGGTCAAAACAACCACAGGAATCGTCCTCGTGTTACTTGTCAGCTTTGTGATAAGCCTAGTCATCACGTGAAGCAGTGCCAAAAACTATTGGAAATTCTTTCTCTAATGAATGACACTAGATCAGATGGGCATACAAGAAATAATGCTCAGTCTCAAACACAACAGCCACGTGCTAACTACACAACTGCATCCAAAAAATAATGCTTAGTCTCAAACACAACAGCCACGTGCTAACTACACAACTCACAACACCACCAATGATGAAAACTGGCTTGTTGATTCGGGTGCATCTCATCACGTCAGGCAGGATATCCAGAATTTTTTCCTTCACTTTAATTATGATGGCAGTGAAGACATAATGCTTGGTGATGGTAATGAACACAAAATCACTCATACGAGAACCGCTTCTTTACCATCATCTCTCGCCCTTTAACTTTGTCCAATGTTTTATGTGTCTAAGATGAAAGAGAACCTTGTTTCTGTTTATCAACTTTGTAATGATAATTATGTCTCTGTCACATTTTCACCTAATTCGATTTTTGTGAAGGAGCTTTGCACGGGGGCGCCTCTACTAAATAAAACCTGAAAACGGTGTTTATTTATAGCCTTCACCTCTTCCATCAGTGACTTATCCTCAAACCTACCACTACCAGCACTGCAAGTGTTTCCAATTGGCATCGACGTCTCAGTCATCCGTCCTCTCCAACTCTTCATCAAGTTTTCAAGCTTTTAGATATTTATTCCTCTTTAGAAAAATCCTTCCTCTCCAACTCTTCGTCAAGTTTTCAAGCTTTTAGTGATTTCATCCTCTTTAGAAAAATTCTTCTTTGGTAGTTCCTGTGAATGCAGTTAAAAATGCATAAGTTTCCTTTCTACAACTCTACAATAAAGAGTAATGCTCCTTTGGAATACATTTATTCGGATGTCTGGGGTCATTCACCGAAAATTTCAGTAGATGATTTTCAATATTATTTAATATTTGGTGATCATTATACAAAATACATCTGGTTCTTTCCCATAAAACAAAAATCTGATGTATCCATTATATTTCCCAAGTTTAAGAAGGTTGTAGAAAAGCTCTTTCAAAAGCCCATAATCATCCATCTCAGGTCCTTCTTTGAAGACAATGGAATATCTCACCTGCTCACTCCTCCACATACTCCTGAACATAATGCAACTGTTGAACGTTGTCATCGCCATATTGTTGAGATAGGTATTACCCTATTAAACAATATCAAGCCTTTAAAGTTTATAAACACTATGAAAAAGTCCACAACGAAGCGAAGTTAATATACGTGTAGAAGTGAAAGTTCATTACAAACTATATTGGATTGTACAGAAGTCAGGCTTGGTGACGGCAAAACAGGGTAGATAGAAACTATCTCCCACAAACTTGAAAATTAACAATGGCAAACTTATAGAAACAGTTAGGAACTTCCACACTATAAGTTAAAGAAATAAGAAACAAATAGTTGAACAGAAAATGTCTACAATAGAAATTCAAGGAATACGAATAATAAGTCCAGAATCTCAATTCTAATAATGGTAGAAAAAGTTACTTTGATGAACCAATAATCTTGGCTCTAACAAAGCATACAACTACCTACATATATGATAAAGTAGCTTTTATTTACCATCTAAGTTGGGCTAAGATACAGAAACAGTTTAACTGAGATTAGATTTAAATGACAGAAAAAGTTCTCCTCCTAGAGGTGACATTTTCCTTTTTGGGGTTGATATTTCCTCAAAGTGGCGTGTTGGCTCCATCTACGTCAAAACAAATATGGAAAAGCGAATTGGAATTCTATTTTGAGACTTTCCTATATTTTTGTTTCCAATTATTACCCCAAATAATTTTATTCCAAACAATGATAAAGTGATCCAAAATAAACAATGAGATTTCCCCCTCTTATGAAAGGGGTCCAAACTTGGATAAGCAATTCCTTTTTTTATAAAAAAGGATGAGTTATATATATTCTAGTTTTAATAATATTATGATAGTGTGGGTAAATGGATCTTTAAACATTATTCCAACATGAAAATGTACTAAAATTTAAGAAAATGTTATTCCACAAAGGAAAAAGGTATTAAAATAAAGGAAATCTTATCCACATGGAAAAGGTTTAAAATTTAAGGATTTTTTTAAACTGAAACCTTATTCCAAAAGGAAAATGTATTCAAATTTAACAAAATGCATTAAAATATAAGGAGATCTTCTTCCACAAGGAAAATGTATTAAATTTTAAAGAAATAATTCAATTTTAATTGAAACAAAAATCTTAATTGGAGGTAAGATTCGAACTTGGGTCACTCAAGACAAGCATGACACTATTCACCGCCAAACTACAGAACATTTATGTAAGCTTACGCATGTTTATTTAGTTACAAACTTCAAGAAGGCAAAATAATAATAGAAAAAGTGAAAATGTTCATATGGAGATTTAAATCTTGTAAAGCTCATCTCTAACTATTCTTACAACATCCAAAAGTTCTGGTATTTTCTTCTCAAATTGCACTAAAAATTGTGAAACGTTCTAGACGTAATTTTCCTAATGTGTAACTAGTTCCAAAAGGTATTGTGCTTCCTTACATGCACCTCGTTTTATTTCTTAAAAAAATAAAGACCAAATCAATCTTGAAAAAGTACTACGAAATGCTCCTAGATGACATTAACACGTGAATGGCATGCTTTAGTCATTGATGGTGCCGCAGTTCTAAATAAAACGGCAAATTTTATTTATCAAAATAATCGAACGGTGAATTTTGTCATTTTTCAGTTGGATAACAAAAGAAAAATGAGAGAAAATCAAGTAGGGTAAGCGAAAGGACGGAAAAGATAAAAACATATGAATGAGGCTTTAGAATGGCAAACTTACCGCAATTTTTCTCCATCGGTGTCAGCAACTTCAGAAGAGGAGGTGGTACGTCATCATTGTCTTTCAGCGCCGGACCACCACCCAATAAGGATCACAAAATGCAATCTGCTAAACAACTTGTGTTTGTTCTCTACAACCCTAATCATCATGAAAACGCTCTTTTAGAGCTTTTCAAGGTTTTTATTCCTTCTAACTTTAGAGGTTTACTTAAACATTTTGGATGGAGTATAATTTTTTTATTCAGTTAAATAGAATTAAGATTTACCTAAATATACTTACGACCTTTGTTTTCCTTTTCCAAAAGAAGCAACATTACCCGAATTTGGCCGCCTTGTTGTGGCACTCATTTTGGACTATCATTGCACTTCTACAAGTACTTTGAGTAGTGTTTCATTGTAATTCTAGAGTTCACCTCTTCTCTCATCTCTCATATGCACATGAAGCTAAAGGACCACTCCACACTATAATTCTAGCATTTCTTTTTTGTGTTCATACACACAACTCTTCAGTAATAACAAATTACCTATGCTTCATACTGCACCTTTAAAAGCTTAGAATAATAGAAAGAATATGAGTGACCTTTTACAACAAATTTCAACTGGTATTACAGAGGAATTCGTATGGTTTAAATTCAAAAATGTTTTCTTTAGTCCTAATTTTTTTCCACATCTTTTAGAGTCTTAGGATAATAAAAGATGTTTATAAAATTTATGGTTTGGGAGGGAGTGGGAGCTAGTCCTAGACTGGCCCATTGGTTGAAGGTCATGTCCCTTGATGTAACTTATGCTCAAAGCATTGCAAGGTTGTTTTTTCAAGATAATGGAAACTAGTCAATTTATATCATTTCATTGTATATGTTTGGTTGCTTTATCCAAGGCGGGAGAAAAGGAAATAAAATGTTTGGGTAAAAGTTAGAATTAAATATACTGGGAATGTCTAATATAGAATCTCGATGTGCTTTCTTGTAGATGGTGTATGTAAATGAAACAGATGGAGCCTATTTTTCGAGGAGATATTAATTCTGAAAGAAAATATTGCCACTAGGAGGAGAAACTATTATGTCATTCAAATTTTTGTGTCCAACAAGTAAACAAAAACTAATATACTCCCTCCGTTTCAAAAAGGATGGCCTAGGTTGACTTGAAACGGAGTTTAAGAAAAGAAAGAAGACTTTTTAATCTTGTGGTTCTAATTTAAAGTCATGTCAAATGGATCAAAATGTCATTTAATCTTGTGGTCTTTAATATGTCACGTGGAAAGTTAAAATGCTGGCAAAAAAAGAAAAGAGTCATTCTTTTTTATACAAACTAAAAAAGAAATAGGGACATTCTTTTTTAAAAGGAGGGAGTATATTTTACCACAACCGATATGATTGGTTTAGTTATATAACTCTCTGCAATGATGAGTTTTAGATTTCATCATTTCTTCCCTTTCCAAATTTATTTTTAATGAGACAAAACCCAAATATGAGATTGTCCTTTATGTAAAATTAATTCAAATTTCAAAGAGTGACCTCCTCTCACTCACACACGGGCATTACCTTTTTCTACAAGGTAAAATATTATAAAAAGATGTGGAAGCACTAATCTTAAGTGTCAAAATTAAAATTATGCAGATTTCTAACCATGTCTAACATGGACTCTATTACATAGATAAGCTTGTGCTGTAAAAGCTAGCAAAAATTACATGTGCTTAAAAGTGACATTCTTAGGACAAGCACAAAATTTAATTGCAAGAAGAATTCCAATAAAATACCAAAAATATCACAGTTGAAATTTTGTTTTTGGAATACCTTTAAATCATTCCATCCAACAATTAGATAAAATCACATTAAACACATTACTAGAGGAAAAAAGTATTGCCTCTAAAAATTAACAAGCATACATAATGACTACTCAGACATCATTCAGCTTGCAGCAAAAGTCACCAACCAGTAAACAGGGGTATGGCTTGAGTCAATTTGATGCTAAGTATACAAACATAACTAGCTTTAAATGAAAAAAGGTTTGATAAATAACAATTAAAACCCCTTGTACGCTAAGGTTGAGGCTATAAATTAGAAGCTCTTTACTAGAAGTCAATAGGCCTGCGGCTCAACTCTTTGATTCCACATAATCACATTTTCAAGATATAATAGACATCTAGAGGAATAGATATAGAGAATTCGTATAGCCAACCTAACTAATTGTTAGAAAATCTAAGAATGAATCATTGAAAATTCGCCAGATCATTGATACAAAAATATCCAAATATCAAACTGGACTTCTATATACTCCCCACAAACTAAGGACTGAGACATAGTTGATTAATACATTGGTACTCTACATCCAGAAAGGATAAGGAAAATAGAGTTTTCATAAGATCACTGGCCAGAACAAACTTAAATAGTAAAAAAGAAACTAACGACCCAGACATCATTCACATCAAAGCCACAATCCAAATATACAGCCCGCATTATAGACTCCATAATGTCTGCAAGAACCTTTAGTTTTTTTATCGTTCCTCCATAGAACTCAATATCCTCCTCTTGTTGCACTGTTGTCACAAACTCCTTCACTTACATCAAATTCAAATCCTATTCTATTACAATTCCACATAGGAACTATTGTAATCAGTTTGACAATCTAGTGCCAATGATATGAGCAATTACGCACTATTACCAAAGGAAAATTAAGTGTCATATGCAATGGCTAACTGGAATCTTCACTATTTGAAGCAAGTACTACCTTAAATGTTCAAGGACTCACATGAAGGAAACAAAATGGACATACATATCGGATAAGATGCAACTGCCAAACTAGACTAGCCAGACGAAAGAACTTTTTCGATTAATACATTTCGTAATTATTGGGAACTTACTCATATGAGCAATCCATACATTAACTGCCAAGGAGTTCTCCCAAGTTCATATTTTATGCTTTGCCTACCTCTGTATAGCTAGTTACTCCGTAAAGTGGAGGAGTCTATTGAAATTTAGTGGTCAAACTATACTTTTGTGTATTCGTGTAGTTATATATACATTTATTAAGACCTTAAAGAGTAAAAGGGATGACATGTCTACCCTCTATTTCAAAAGGTTAAATTGTCATTTCCCTTCCTTCGTGTAATTAATATTTGAAGAAAAAAATACACAAAATTACCCTCCCAAACTTATCCATAAAAACCTATTACATGATTTAACTTTATGGGCGTTCCTTTACACCCTATTTTCGAGGGGTTATTTATACTTTTTATCCAATTTTTTAACATTAACATATGAGGCAGAGGTCAAAATCAGACCAATGCCATCACTAGGTGGATTTGTCTTAATTTCTATTGAAATATTTACTTGTATACACTCTCTATTATATGCTTATATAGATACTTTGATAGTTACTCCCAACACCCCGAAATACTTGGCACTATCCACTTCTCGATTGTGAAATATATGAACTTTGACCAACAATTGAAAGATATATCTTTTCACCACATAGATATAAGATGAATTGCAACTTATAGTATTGTATGTATATCGTATGAATATCTAATTTCAATTTCAAAAAATTAAATTGTTCCAATCCAATTTAGCTCCAAAGATTAGTCAAATTGGTTCTTGAAACCCCAAAAGCCACAACTATTTTGGGACAGAAGAAGAAAATAAAACAAAAGTTTAACTAGAAAACAATGTGAAGTAGATGCATATAAGTTAATACTAGTTTGTACCTTTTCATCGACTTTTTGACGCATCACGGATGAGGCACTTGTAGAGGACGTGCTGGACTGCAACTCTAACAAGTTTTTCCATACTTACATCTGCAGCAGAGAGGTATGTTAGCTTGCTACAGTCAACGTCAGGGTAAATCACGAAGAAATAACTAGAAATAGCTATGTTGAGATCTGGTAATTAGAAGCTGAATTAGGACAAGAAGAGTGAGTAAGAGCTTTCTAGGAGCTTCCAGCTCTTAATTCAGTACTTCAATAACCCTCCCATTGCCCTTAGTGGTATTGCCGTGTTTGTAATTTCTTCCTTCAGCAACAGCAACACAACTTATTTCCTTCGGTCACCACCGCGCAATTCTCTGAAGGATCTCGCGCACATCGAGACTGCTTTCCCGAAAAAAACTGACTTGTATCAGAGAAAAGTGCAACAACAAATTCAATCACAACTGCACATTTTACACTACAGACATAGAACTGTCATTTGCACAAAAAAAAAGCAACTTCATTGAGGCGGCTAATTATAAGACGTTGGTATAGAAATCAAACCAGCTATACATGTCAAACCATGTGATTGAATTTTGGCCGCACCCAACTTTGTTTTTGCTATGTGGTATTGCAAGAGAACAAACAAATTACGGAACCAGTAGTTTAAAAATGTAAAATGTGTGTTACTGTTTCTTCCTATGAGTGGGGGGTTCGAATTTTTGCTTCTTAGTTCCCTCGCTGCAGCAAATGTTGAGGGCTTCTTTTTAGGGAAGGAAGAGACAATCAGTATGCCAAGCTTTTGGGGATAACGGCTTTTGTAGCTTAAGTCTGAAAAACTTATGAGCAAACTAGCATTGATTAATGAGAATTATATGTAATGTAAGGAGAAAGTACAGATAGAATCTTGTTTAGTTGTAGTGCTTATATATGTGTGCACCTTGAAAATGACAATTTGATATACTTTTTCGACTGTCATGGATAGTAGTTAGCCAGTCAACATTTTCAAGACCGTTGCTGTTAGTGTACCACTGTTATGTGTGAGTCAAGCTCGAAACTGCACCTGTGAGCAAAATAACAACAAAAACAAGTCATTGTATATTCATATGTCATCAGCTACATTGTAATAACTTTCCATGAAATGAGAAAAAAGGTTCTTGATGTTTCATTGTATATATCCGCGTAAAATAATTAATGTGTCTGATATTGAGGTCAAACAAAATGAAGTAGACAGAGGAGAAGCCATGGAAAAAGTGGTTATATTTGGGTGAGAAATAAAATAGTGGCATTATACATATATAGGCACTTAAATATTCAAAACTTTTTCAATGGCGTACAAATAGACATTTTAATTATTTCATCATTCAATAAATAAACACAATTGACACACTCCGACTCAAATGCACCAATTAAAACAGCAACTCGATTGAAAAAGTGCAAAATAAGAAGATTTTTCAGGCATAACTCGCACAGACAAACAGATCCGACATCGAATGACGATGCAGCAGCAAAATTGAATCAAACCTGCAGAGGGACTCAGAGGAAGCAAATCTTCTAACAAAAATGGAAGAAGATACACACGGGAGGAGGAGAAAGCATAGCCAAATAAATCCGATTAAACCTAGGTAGAATACTGTTTTGTTTGTTGGAGTGTATTCAGTGCTTAATTTGGACAGACATGTGAAAGAAGTTAGAAAGCACCGCCTATAGGCTGAAACAACAATACAAGGCATGAAAAGACGAATCTACCCTTCTATATGGGCTATTTGTCTTTTCGTAGTTCCTCGTTGTTCCTACAAGCATTCTTTTAAGGCGGTGCTTCGTGGCCTTTTTTAGATGTACATAGATGTCCTAATTAAGCAGCAAATGTACGTCTCTGGAGAAACAAGAGTAGCTATTGTTGGTTGTCATGTGTACTCCTTCACAGCGTATACACGATTATTTGTGACTTTTTCAGATGTATATAAATTATTTTTGTTATATCGATGTATATCTCCTCTCAATATTAAAACTTTAAAAAACAAGTTATAATAATTACTATATTTCTAAATTTATATATTTTTCTATTATATAGAAGAGCCATTAATTAGGAGGACAAAGACTATTTTTGTAATTTTACACAATATCTGAATTCTAGAATCATCTGTGATCGCTCGGATAAGAAGATATTAGAGACTTCCCAATACAGACTCATATATCTAAAAACATCCATATTTCTTTCACTAGTTTTTAGCTTTCAAGAATTGTCTTTTAATCTTCATCGAAAATTTCTATTATATAGAAGAATCATGAATTAGGACGATCAAGGCTATTTTTGTAATTGCACAAAATTCAATTTCTAAAATCATCTGTGGTCGCTTGACTAAGAAGATATTAGAGACTTTTCAACACAGACACATATGTCTAGAAACGTCCATGTCTTTCACAATTTTTTAGCTTTTAAGAATGATCTCTTAATCTTCATCAAGAACTTTTGATTCTTTTCATCCTCACAGTGAATTACATTTTAATCTTCGACTCATTTAATTTTATTAAAATCTTTATTCATTTTTTCTTCGTATACTTTACAAGGTTTCTTTAAGAAGAGTATAGATGAAAGTTTTAGTGAGCTGCATGTCAAATTGCTTCTTCATCTATATTCTTCTAGAGTTTCAATTACAGATAAGTTCTTCATCATTTTTTAAATTCTTTTGTCACTCATTTTTTAAATTCTTTTGTCAATTTTTGTTTGATTTTTATCAAAATTTTTAAAATTTTTGCTCATCTTCTCAAAAAAGTTGTGTTTTTCACTTTGAAGAATAAATAAATCCTTGGTTACATCTTCTGATTGACTATTCTACCCTACCCTGCAGATCAATTCTCTACTTTAATATTCATCTACGCTTATGGATTTTGCAATGCCGGGTAAGTTCTTAATTGATTTCTTTGTTCTTCTCCAAATTTTTATATAATCTTCATCAAATTCTTTTTTATTTTTGTTTGGTATATATAACGGTTGATAATATAGCCAATAAAATTTAAATATTCATGTTTTCTGATTTTCTCCTTTTTACTTTTTGTGATTTTCTCTATCAAACGAATTTATCAGTTTCTTTTCACTAAAACTTGAAAGAAAAGAAAAATTAATTTAAATTATTTGATTGATCACTAGATTACACCTTTAAATACTAAAAAATAGTTATCTTTTATCAACATTTAATGAATAACATATAATGCTATTGCATATGTATTTCTCATATAAATTTTATGACTCATGTAGTTTAATAATCAACTATAAAAACTACTAATATATCACTATATTTTGAAGAATGATGCAAAGATTATAATGTCAAAAATAATGACACAGTCAGACTCAAGTGCACAAATAACACAACAAATTGATTGAAAAAGGAGAAATTAAGAAGATTTTTCAGGCTTAACTCGCAACGACAAACAGATCCAACACTAAATGTCGATGCAGCAGCAAAATTGAAACACACAGAAGAAATCTAAATCAAACCAGCGGAAGGACTTAGAGGAAACAAATTTAACAATGGAAGAAGATACATAGAGGAGCAAGAGAAAGCACTGCCAAATAAATTTGATTAAACCTAGGTAGAATGTTGTTTTGTTTGTAGAAGTGTATTCAGTAATTAGGACATATTTGTACATGTGAAAAAGTTACAAAGCACCGCCTATGAGCTAAACAACAATCGAAGGCATGAAAAGATGGATATAACCTTCTATATGTGCTTCTTCATAGGGGTATATTCGTCTTTTTGTAATTCCTTGTTGTTTATACATGCATTCTTTAAGGGTGGTTCTTCGTGGCTTTTTTAGATGTAAATAGATGTCCTCATTAAGCTGTAAATGCATGTCTTTGGAGAAGCATACATGACGACCAAGAGTAGCTATTGTTGGTTGTCTTGTGTACATCTTCACATGGTATACTCAGTTTTGCTACCTCCTTGTTGTTCATACAAGTATTCCCTCATACGCGATTATTTGTGGCTTCTTTAGACGTACACAACTATTGTAATTAAACAGTAAATACACGCCTAGAAAGAAAACAATATTCTCCATAGAATTTACTAATTTTCTTGTAATTACTTTCCATGATTTCATCTATCAAAATCGTTAAATATAGAATAGAATTTACTAATTTTTTTTCATATAAGTTTGGAAGAAAAAAAGTGATTTAACTTATTTGATTGATTATTAGATTACGCTTTTAAATAGTAAAATAGTTATCTTTTTTATCAACATTTAATTGATAAGTATATAATACTATTGCATATGTATTTCACATATATAATTTACGACTCGTGTAGTTTAATAATCAATTATATAAACTACTAATATATCACTATACTTTGAAGAATAATGCAAAGATCATAATGTCAATAATAATGACAAATTGAAGTTACCATACTTTGGTTTCTCATTTTTCTATTGCGAAGATAATTTAACAATAATTGCAATTCCAACTTAATCTCATAAGACAAATTTGAGAAGAAATGTGTAGGCAAAGTTATTTGTGAAGATAAAAAGATTATTCCTACTTAATTTTGTTTCAAATTTGTATGTGTGCTACTTCAGAGGAGACAAATATACGTTGGTGCTTTTCTCCTATTTCGATATGTATCTCCTTCGAAATGTTAAAATTTTAAAGTGACAAGAAATAATAAATATTAAAAATATATATAATAAATAAGTAATAAGTAAGCATAAATAAGAGTTGATAATTTAGCCAATATAATTTAAATTAATGATCTTTTGTGAATTTCTTTTTATTTACCTTTTGTGATTTTGTCCAACGAAATATTTATAATATAACAAAATTTATCAATTTGTTTTCAATAAAATTCGAAAGAGAAAAAAGTGATTTAACTTATTTGTGGCCCAGGATTTATCAAATTAAGAGTCTTTGAGTTCTCTTTTCAATGCCTAATTTTGAGCTCAAAGCAGAAAGTTATCTCCGTTTTAGTGAAACCTTTCTTTTAAAGGCATCTCAATCATTTTAAAAGGATAGTTTGGTCTTTTCCTTTTTCCTTCTAAGCCTAGCCACTTTTTTGTCACCTAATTAAGGATCTAATCAGATGTAAAACAATTGTTTCACCTTCTTTAACACTTAGAGAAATTAGAGGAAGGTTCCAATTTGAGAAGCTAGGTTTCAAGCACTCTTCAAAATTTCATTGATTTTTGCGAAGAACATTGTTCTTTCCAGGTATGTGAAGGTTCTTATAGTGTTGAACTTGTTGATCCTCATGTCATACATCCAAATTGATCCAAGAACTCGTTATATCTAAAGGATTCTTGTGTAGTTCTTGAGTTTAGTTCAATTTTTTAAAAATAGAGGTTATTGAATCATTTGTGTTGTAAATTTTTGGTAAAAGTCATCTGTTCAAAAGGGATGTATGAAACATTTCATAATTACCTGTTGGTTTTGAGAATTAAGAAGAAATTAGAAGAAAATTTTCATTTCTAAACTAGTTTGAAGCCTTAATTTCAACAAAAAGAATTTTTTGGGTCGTTGGGAGGGGATGGGGCATTGTACCAGCACTACGCCCGAAACCATCCCTAGTACTTCGGAGCCAGGGGCGGCCCGCCAAAAGTGCGCTCAAATCCAGCCCTAGTACTTCGGGGCCTAGCACCCTGAGTCAGCAGTACACCAGGGTCATTAGACCAATTCTTCCTTGTTTTATTTGGTGTGTGTTCCTTTAAGTTGTGGCTATGTGGTCCCTCTCTATATTTGCTCTTAAATGCTAAATTTATCTTTTACATTTTCTACATGTTCTAATCATGTGTCTTAATGTACATTCAAAACTAAAGTGAGTTATAGAGAAAAGTTCTAGAAGTTTTTTTTGAGTATTGTAACCAACAATGGCCTTAAACTAACTTTCAAAGAAAGCAAAGATGAGTGTTGAGAAGAGTTTTATTCATGATTGAGAAAGAAATTAGGGGAACTAATAAGTTTGGGATGATAAAAAGAGAAATTTTAATTTCTAAAAAGAGTTTATAATAAGTTCGGGATATTTTATTCTCTTTAAAAAAATATTATTTTGAGTAATTACCCCACAATAGAGAAAGAGTATTTCTATATGAGCATGATAATTTTTATAATTATTGGGAGTGATATTAAGCATAGATATGAGAAGGAGTTCAGACAACTCAAATTTATCATAAACCATGTAGTCAACGTGGATAAAAAATTGTACTTTTTAAACGAGTCCTTATTGCTTTTGAGCATAACTTAAGTAAATCCACTTAGTTTAGGTGTTCTATACCCCTATTTTGCTCAAAACGATTATGTTTTGAGATAAAAAGTTTTTCCAATTAAAGTACATTTTGAAAAGGGATTATTTTATATTTCAGAATCGTCACTTGGAATTGAGTTTTGGTGTTCCAAGTCACCTTTTTAAATCCCTAATCAAAGGAAGTTGACTCTTTATTTTATTGTCTGCGAAATGAAAAATCAGGTAAGAAATTTGCTTGACCTAAGGGAAGGTATTAGGCACCCCTCGAATCCCGTGGGTCTAACACTGACACTTCATTGATCTTAGTGTGTCTTAACTTAATATTTGGATATTATATTATTTATCTTAATAATAAAAATATTATTTACCCTCACCCTTTGATCTATTTTAAATATATTTAAAACCATCTTATTGTTCATTAATTAAAAATATGTATAGACATAAATTTACTCAAATAAAGTAGAGTCATGCAATTTATATATTTATTTTTTTTCCAATTATTTGTATTTTTTTAAATTATGAATAGAGGATATAGAAGTATTTACTTGTTAGGAATTATGATTTATGTAGGATGAGATTGTTAGAGTTTGAGTAATTTAGGATTGTTTTATTTTTATTTTTGTTAGATTTTAAATAGGGGATAAAATTTTATGATATTTATGATAAGTTTTAGCAAGAAATTCTGAAGAGATTAGAACTACTTTTCTAAAAGATTTTCTTTATTACAAATTTCTTTTTTTTCCTTTTCTTTATCCCTTTTGTGTACACGTTTTATTTTTATTTTCTGATTTTTATTAATTTTATGTTTTTACTGTTTCTTGCTTTGTTCTTTTCCTTATTTTTTTAAATTTTAACAGAATAATCCCCTCCCTCTTACTTTTCATTTAAATAATTATTGGTTGAGTTTACCGTTTTTTTTTCTTTTACGTTTTCACTATTTTTTTTATTACTTTTTATCACCTTTATTTTTCCTCCATGGCTGCTTTCATTACAAATTTTTATCTTTATTTTTATTATTATTTTACTTATTTTACTTTATTTGCAGTGATCTGTTCTTTTGTGTTTTTTTTCAATCCTCTTTATTTTCTTCTATTTTTGAATGATCTTTCCCCTTTTATTTTATGTTTTTTCTCTGAACCACTTTTCTTTATTCATTCTATATATTATTTAAATTTTCTTTACTTTTATTAGTTTTATTAAAATTAACCAAGAGAAAATTAATATACCATGATATAATAATATTCCTTAACCAAGTAATGATAGTATGAAATTACTAAGAAGAGAACTATCTCACGTTAGTACATTAATGAGTCAGTCAAATAATCTAATACTCGCCTCTCCCGTTTTTAACATTTCAGGCATGCTAAAAAAAATTCTAATAATAAATTTTCTCCATAAGTAGGGCAGTATTATTTACTTAATAAAACCCAAAAACTCCAAACAATGACTAATGCAAAACCTCTAACCAAATTGCATGTAATTAAACTAAAGTCATAAATAAAGCTATCAGTTGACGCAGTCAAACAAACGTACATAACCAGGTTGGAATAAACTAAGAATAAACAACCACCACCTTTGGATCAACTTACGTAATTAAATTGAAGTCATGTATTAAAACAAACGTACATGACAATTCGTGCGATCAAAAATATGATAGACATCTTAAAATAGGGAATAAAACAATACATGTTATTTTAAGGAATTTATAACATCATGATCAAGTTTCATACAATCATTTCATTTAACTACATATGAGATTAGAATTACCTTTTCGTAAAACATGACTCCCACAAAAGAAACATCTACAATCTACTGATTTTCAAAGCTAAATATAATTAATTAACTTTAAAGAACCATGAACTTGAATCAACCGATAAAAATCTCTCTAAATTTAAAAGTTTATTTTTTTTGTGTATGCACTGCTCTTCCGTATCCCTATGATGGTGATGTATATGGATATATATAGGATTCTTCCCATTGTGTGTGTTGGTATCTTTTGTGTAGGTAAGTGGGGTCATTGGAGAGAAAAGTGGGATAGTAGGAGAAGGAAGTGGGATTATTTGAAAGCAAAGTGGATCGGGTGTTTGCAAACAAAGTGGGTTATGGGAGGTTGGTAGTTTAGATTTTCTTTTATTTAGGTTATTTTCTTCTTTTCAATTTAAAAGTCTATCACTTCATATAATTCTTAGGCATAAAAAGTGTGTGTTATCCTAGGAAAAAGTAATCAAATCAATCAAATCTCATTATCCAGGATGGTTCTGTTAGTCTCATCCATAAGGGTCCTACGAATTCCATTAGCAAGGAGGATCCTGCTAGTCCCATTACTAAGGAGGTTCTTGCTAGTCCCGTTATCCAGGAGGGTCCTACTAATTTGCTAGTCTAGAGGCTCTTGCTAATCCCATTATTCAAGAGGGTCCTGTTAATCTACTAGTCTCATTATCTAAGAGGGTCCTGTTATTCCATTATCCAGGGTGATCCTCTTAATCTGCTAGTCTCATTATCTAGGAGGGTTTTCTAGTCCCATTATCGAGGAAGATTCTACTAATCTCATTATCAACGAGGGTCCTGCTAGTCCCATTATCGAGGAGGGTCCTGCTAGTCCCATTATAAAAAAGGGTCCTACTAATTCCATTATCTAGGATGATCCTGCTAGTCCCATTATCCAGGAGGGTCCTGCTATAATACATTTAGTAGACTAATAATACAAACAAAACATTTGCCCCAATACGGACCATAATTTTTATTTT